GGGGGGTCGTAAGAGAATGAGAACAAACTGCAAAAAGACCAAGAGAAAAATAGACACACATTTTCAGCCTTTAACGAGAAGAGAGAGAGCGAGATAGAAAGAAGAGCCGATTTTCTCTGTAAAATCAACTTAATAAGAGAACTAGAAATAATCATGACTTTCAACAGTTGCAGAAATTTTCGCAGCCAAATTTACGTGTTTTTCACTGGGGGAAAAAAATTGAAATGAACTTTACGACGTATTGCGATTTCCCTCACGAAAGAAAGTAACTAAAATTAAATGTTGCCAAATTTTCTCTCGCAAATTGCATCTTTACCAGGAGAATTTAGGGCATTTGTAACTGAAAATTTCACTGATTTTTTTCTCTAATTCGATGCCAAAATAAAAAAAAGAATTTTTAACAGAAATTGAACACGTAGTTCTTGTAAAAAATTGTATAGTTTGAGCCAATTTTGCAACTTTGGAATAGAGTTACGTTCCCTCGTGCGAAAAACGACGCTGATTGTTCGATTTTTTTCTTGCACCTTACTTCAATGATAAAAATAAGCTGCTTTCAGTTTTATTCAAAAAAAAAAAAAAAAAAAAAAAAAAAAAGATTTGTCCGATACCAAAATATATTTATTTTACAGCGTGAACGAGAGGTCAATCAACGTTGCAATAGGCATAAGAGTAACTGATACTTCCTCACGTCTATAATCATAAATATTGAGACAGAGGAGAAAACCACACTGCAAATGTTTATGTTCCCATCGAAACATCATTCAGCTTAAGACGGAAAGATTTGTAATCATTTCTTTTTTCCAAAAACTGACAAAATTTTCCGACGAGACGAGTGAAGAGGAAAACTAAACACTGCTCAAATTTCGGAGGAACAGCAGAAAAAAATCAATGACATGAATCGGAGCGAGCGACGGTATCAAGTGACTGCAAACAATAGTACATGGGGGCGTTCGACCTCTGGAAAGCAACTAGGAAAAAGATAAAAAAAGAACTCGGGCACACACACCAACGAAATCCTTGTGCTTATCGGATCAGATTGAATTGAGCGGAAATGCACGCATTATCACTCCTCATTGAAGTCCTGTGCACCCATTTTTCATGAGATTAGAGAGAAAAAAAACTAACAGACCGTGACAATTATTCAGAATTAAAAAATCCACATGCTACCTCATCAAAATTTTATTTTAAGACCATCAAGAATTAACTCCTCGGGAAGAGATCAACGCATTGTATGGTCTTCATTAAAATCAGTCAATTCGAACACATCATTTTCGTCAAATCCGTATCAAATTATGCATCTGTGCCATATAATCGCACTTTTAAAATGACTTTGGGCGAAGAAAAAATCAGAAACATTAAAGAGAAGAAAACGGGTACACGTGAGAAAAATATGAATACAATAGTATCCGATTGTTGATCATTTAGCGTGAAGCGCAATGCAGAATATACAGCGTGCGAGGTTAATGACCCTGGATATGACTTAAATAAAGTTTCATATACAGGATGTGACAAGGAACTTTACAGCGACAAGTCGAGAGAAAAACTGAAATTCAATCCTACTATCGGTTCTCTCGTAAATATTAAAATAATTAATGCAGAACTATTATGGAAAAAACAAAAAAAAGAAGCTCTGTACTGCCTTGCTGGGGAAAAACGCCGTAAGAGCATTTGAATGTTGCCAAATTTCCTCTCAGAAAATGTATATTTTTAAAGAGATTAATGAATATTTTACCTTTACGTTTTCAGACTTTTTAGATCAAATTTCGAAGAAGATCCTCCGAAAAATCGGAGGAGATATTTCACAAATTTTCCTGAAAATTCGTTGTTTTTCGGATGAAATTTGGCAACGCCTGATGGCTCATACGGCGTTTTTCCTTAGCACGGCAGTGTACATCTCTTTTCATTGGCGGCGCTTAAGTGAAGCGACACGAAGTGTGAGATTCTGCGCCTCCCAGTGGCGTGGCGTGAATGATCGATTATCGATATTTTTCCAT